TTATTCCCTAAGCTAATTCATAGCCATATGCATCCTGCCTTTTAATAACAATATGCATCTTGCTTTTTAATAGAAAGCAGACTAAAGAGAAGTGTTTTTAAAGTGCAGGCAGGTTGGACTACATTCATAAGATTTGGATAAAGATTTCTCAGGATGCTAAAATGAATTTGATCCCAAATTTTATTTCCAGTTCACAAAACACAGCTTCCTGGGTTGTATATGTTAGTTGACTTGTAGCTCAGCACATTCTGGCTTTGGAAAAAGGTAAAGCAAAACAGTAACGAAGAAGACTCTTACATAAACAAGCTTCAGGAAATATTAAGAATTGCATTTGGGAAGGCATCAACCCAAGCATTTCTACATCCTCAGCTTGCTTTGCTCTAAACTGAAGACTCTCATTCTGTTTCCTGATCCTCTCTCCCATGACTGGGTTAGATCTCCCACCACACAAGCTCTGTTTCAGGTAGGAAGCAGAATGCCTTTAAAAAAGAAAAAGGAAAGTAAAAGAACAGACACACCTGTGCATTTAAAATGTGACTTCCACCCACCCCCTGCCATATTGCTACAGAAATATTGTGTTTATTTATATATAAATAAATACACTTTTTTATCACTGCAACTTGTAAATAGGAAAGGAAGTCACAATCCTCAAAATTATAATGGCAGGCACACAAAGACACAGTTACTGGCACGGAATTCAATTAACAGATAGCAATCACCCTTGGGTGACTGTGTGAGGTGGAAATATACAGGCATGCTAATAACTAATATCTTAAAGCCAAGGCGTTTATCAGCCAGCAGCCAGACATGGGCATAAGTGTGGGCAGGCAGCAGTGCTCTGGGATATTTAATAAAACCTGCTCTCTTCATTTGAGGATTTGTGTTTAATCATTTGGTAGCATTTTAGAAACATCCAGGCTGGGAAGCTTCTCAAATGGAACTGCTTAGGTCAGAAAATGTAGAGAGTTATTTACTGATACTAAAACAGCTAAAGGAACAGAGTGGATTCTAGGTAATATTAACAAAATTCTTTGTTGCCATCTTTTTGACCTTTTGAGTTTCTGGGGTATGCCTGCTATGTGAATCACAGCCTTATCTGGGGAAACATGCAGAAGGTGTTCATTAGAACTGCAAAAGCAAATGATTGAACTGCTGTTTAAAATAAAATTTTTAACTCTTTTTTTGCTTGGTTGAAAGCCTAAAGCTAAAATAGTTTTCTTCTAGGCTGCCTGAACTTTAATTTGCATTGCATTTTGGTCTTTCAAAGGCTTCAGGCAGGCCAAGATTTGTCATCCTCTGAAAGATGTTCAATTTAAACTTCCTCATCAGGGCTCTCTTTGTGCCACAGCAGCCAGGTGAATTCGCAGGGCTGTTTTGCATGGTTAAATACCACTGCTTGGAGGAAAGGCAAACTCAGAAGACAAGTCATGGGTTTCTTTAAAGGAAGGCAGTTCGATTTAGTAAGATGCTTGTTAAGAGCTTTATGCAGAAGAAATGTGAGGCATGGTATTAGTACATTCTTGGGTAACTCTCTAGGATTAAAGCTTTCATCAAATGAAAGCAGTTTGGAGCAAGGCAAATGGAGGCCAGCCAGCCTAGTCCTGGGACATACAGGAAGCAGCATATGTCAGCCATTACCAAGGCAGGACGGAAGCTTTTGGCTATGAAGCCCATGGTGTTGCCAATAGATGCTCTCACTGCTTTTGGTTTTGCCTCTGTTCTGAGTAAGCAGTCATGCCTTTTGTGCTTGCCAGCTCTGCCCCTAAAACTGGGCTGGTGGCAGCAGGAGGTATCCAGTGCTTCAGAGCACCCTTCTGAGCATGCTGCACATTGTCCCTCTCATTGGTGTGGCTGTCTGCTTTGCTTTGGATCAAACATTTCTGATGTCCACGTGGGCTGTGGTGCTCACCAACAGCTACATAGCAGCTAAAGCAGTGGGGTGATTGTCCAGCTGTCAGAGTCTTACTAATTTTGGTTTGCTAAGGGAATCAGCAAAGGCAAAGGTGGGCTGACGCAAATGCTAAAGACGGACTGTGGACGTGCTACAGGGAACCTCTAGCAGGTACTCTCAGTACCTGTTTCTTTACCCTGGGGTATTCATGTGATCTACAAATCAGTGGCCAAAGCCTCCTCTCCCAGCGATTTTCCACACTGCTGGCATTCAGCCCAGCCTGGGCTGTGCTCAGGAAGCTGTAAAGTGGCTCTGAATAGCTGCTGTGAAGCCGTCCCTGCATTACTCCTGTCACAAAGAGTTTTCAGTGCCCGCCTTGCTAATGGATGAGTTTCTCTTATACAAAGTGCCGAACAATGTGGTGATACATTCAGGTTTTATTAGTGTGAGTTTAGCATGGCCACATTATTCATAATGGAAACAGCACAAGAGAACTGCATTGTTCAGCCCAAGCCATAAATCCTGTAAACCACGCAGTGCTGTCGGATGGTGTGTTTTCACCACTTATTTTGCAGGAAAGCTATTTGTATTCCCTCTGTATGTAAACCCAAGCTGTCTTAATATTGCAAGCCCAAACTGTGTTGGTGGAGGTAATAACAACAAAAAATTACAACCAGTACATTTTAGGAAACTCAGTCATAACTCTGCGATACCAAGGCTCAGTACCTGCTGTCATGTGAGAGGGGAGCGATGCTGTGGTAGGGTGGCATGGGGCTGAGCCCCTGTGTGCTGCTGGAGTGGGGGGCTCAGCCTGTACCCACCTGAGAGCTATGGCAGTGGAGCCTTGTGGTTACTTGAGGTCTGAACATTGATCTCCTTTGCTGTGAAGTGTGAATGTGCGGGTCTGCATGTATATGGGACAAGGAGGTACTTTGTGCTTCTGCTTGCTTGGTTTCCTTTTACAGAGAGCAGCTGCAATAACGGGACATGTGAAGTATGCTCAGTGGAGATACATCAGTGGGCAGAGCACAGGTAAGTTGGTCAAAAATTCAAAACAATTGTAATTTACTGTGAAGAGGACATATCACCTGCCTGACACAAATCAGGCTTTGCAGGTGAGGGAAGCAGTTCAAACTGCATGTCGTTTTGCTGCCATGCTTTCCTATGGAGACTGTCACCCAAGAAGCCATCCTGAGTTCACAGTGAGAGCAAGCAGCTGCTCAGGAAGACCTGGGCTGAAGCAACTGCTTTCCTTCACCTAGGCATCAGGTGACTGCTAGAGAGATGAAGCTGACTTTTGTGTGCTTCTGCACCAACCTAGTGACCCAGAAGTGAAGGGCTACACAAGCTATTACCAGTCTTTTCATCTACCACCTCTTGCCAGACTCCTGTCCCTGCTCCAGCATCTTTTGCAGTGCCTGGAAGCCAGGCAGTGGCTGCCCCCACACCACCCACAGCCAGAGCACTCTTTCTGTGGTACCACACAGCACCCAGTAAAGGAAATGTTCATTAAGAGCTGTGAACACTCTAGACGGTGTTACTACCTGACCCAATGGCTCAGGGGAATTACAGAGTGGACTTTTGCTACTTCTGCAGGAAACACTGCCTGAGCTTGTGGAGAACCTCCTGTTCTCTCCTGCATCTGACCCTTTTGGGTGCGACCATTACAACAATTAACCCTGAGCTGAGAGAGGATCCTCTGATTTTCCAAGCCTTACATGTGAAGCATGTAAGCCTCTGCACTCCTCCACGTACTTTGTTCACTGTTGGTATTAACACTGGAAATGCTGACAACAGCTACTAAAGGTTCAGTGTGTTTGTAGAAAATCAAAGGCATGATGCTCCCTTCTCCCTCTCCTCTCAGTGTTTCAGGGAGAAAATGCCCCCTGGATAGATGCAGAGTATAAGTTAACATTTCTCTCAGAACATGTGCACTTATGCAAAAGGCTGAAAGGATATCTTTTACTATCCTAGTACAGTGCTGCTCCTCTTCATTCACTGCTTGGAAGAGCGTCTGAGGCTTCTGCCGCATTGGTTATTATGCAGGGCATGTGTTTTAAAACGTTAAGTACCTTGATTGTCTCTCTCATAGCTAGTGCTGTCAGCAGTTTGCACAGAGCTTTTATGTGTCTTTTTCCTCCCTGAGATACCTGTGTTCAGTTCAGAACTGATTCTGCTTCTGAAGCAATTCATTAAACATCTTCAGTGCTCCACTTCTGTGAAGAGGTCAATTTGTTTTTTCTGCCTAGAGATGCAAAACTCTGAGCTTCAGTTGTAAATGCAAGTACTAGATGCATTTCTCGCTGTTTTACTTGTGCTTCCCTCCAATCTATCCTCTCTAGTGATCCCTTCCTTTAACATAGGCATTTATTATTCATGAAATGTGGAGACTGATGCTACTGTATCAGTCGAGGGCAGGTGCAGTTGGGTAGCCTGGCATGCACACACTGCTCCATTCACCCTCTTCTAGAGGAGACATTTTTTAAAGGAGAGAAAGTAGCTGTTTCTTTCTCCTGTGTTCCTTTGTCCTCCTCACAAGTTACCAGCATGGTGGTGGGTTGGTACGTGCTCATGGGATAAGTTCCTGGAGCACTACTGGCCTGAACGTGATTCCTAATGCAGTTCATGCACAGGCTGCTGGATTCATGCACAGGTTGGGAGTCTCTGGCTTTTGGTCATCTCTGAGGTGGCTTCTCTGGTAGTTAAAAATGGGACTCTGGGAACGCATCCTGTCCCCAAAAGCAATTTGGTAAGGTTTTTTCCTGCTGTACTGCTTGAAAAGGGGATTCATCCATAAGTCTTCAGGTAGTTGTTACCTATATATCTCCAACCTCCCAGGTCCAAATGCCCCTCTGTCCAATACGATAGTTGTTGTTGGGCATTTTTTGTTTGGGGTTGTTTGTTTTAATCCAGTTATTTCTAATATGTAAAATGATTTGGTTCATATCTGCACATACCAGTTATAATAGGCTTATTATTAAAACACAGGTTTTAGGACGAAGGTAGACCAAAAGTAAACCTTGCTTTGACCTTGTGAGGTTCCTAGGTAAACAGGGCTTTTTACTTTCTTCCATAATTCTTACCATTCACTTTTATTTTACTGTTGCAGCTAGGAATATGTCTCAGAGTGTTTGGCTAGCCCACCAGCTCTGGAGGGAGCAGGTTTGCTGACATAAAAATTGGTACGTCTTCTTAAAGTTATTCTTAGGTCTTTGGTAAATATTTAGTGCCTAGGTCTGGAACAGCAGATTAGGAAGTAAATGGAACCATTTATACTGGAATATCAGACATATTATTTAAATTGTTATCCAAAGACAAGTATGGGCATATGGGATTATTTTCTTTTAACAGTGATTTCTTTGGTTATATTCTTGCTGTACTTATTGCAGTAGTTATAGCTTTTTTATTTTTTTTTTTTTGCAAGGTTTTTATGTAATGTAAGTGATTAAATATGATTTTCTGGGCTGTATTTTGCATACGGTATGGTTTCTGTTTGGAAAACTGGTTTCTTTTTTCTTTTTTTCCACTTTTTTAAAGGCAAAGTCAGACTGGTTATTTAAGAAGCAAAACTGATTGCAAAAAGTAGCTAGAGAGCATAAATCAGTGGGGTCTTCAGGAGCAACAGACTCTCAGAGCTAGCAGCTTGTGAAAACTTTGCAATTATATTCCCCCCAATATAATAGTATTTTCTTTCTTTCTTTTATCGTAGGAAGGATCTTCAGAAATGTGTACTCAAATCACCAAAAATGTCCAGTTCTCAAGGATGCTGATCAACTCATTATTCTTTGTTTTGATTCACATGAAATATTTTCAGCTTGTGGTTCATTTCCAAAAAACAAAACCAAAAAAGCTTGAACAGTAAGTGGTGCCTCACATCTCCTGTTGGAAAAGATTTCAAAAGCCCGTAAAATGTCTCCAGCTCATACAATATATCATGTCATATTAATTTATGGTAGTCAATGAACAGTAGGAAATGGTGGAGGAGAGAGATGGAGAGCCTGCAATATTCGGCTTTATTCAGAACCGTATATCAGAGGGCTTTTTTTTTTTCCTTTACACACAACTCAGGCACAGCATCTCCTCTTCCTTGCTTCAGGAAAAAAAGAGAAAGAAAGAAAAAATCCTCATATTTGTATTATATTATGTTCTCTAAGTAACAAATTCCCTCTGCCAGCTATCTGTGGGTGTGCAGCCCTTCCTCGGGAACATGCTGTATCTTCTGAGTTCCTGTGTTTGCGATATCACAGTACTTTTGCTCTGCAAAGCCATGAATGGGGCCATTATGAGGGGCCGCTAGATAATTAAGATTCTGAGAGGGGTAGGCTGCTAAAAGCGTGTTTAGTGAGGAAATTACAAGGCCAATAAAAAAAAATGTCTTTGCAAGTTCCGATTGTATTCTTTGCTTCTGTGGGTCTAATTTTTCAAGGTCTGGCTGGATCATGTTGAGGTTTTCTTTCATCCCTTTTTTTTCTTTCCACAACAGGAGCTGAGGCTAGAATCTAAGTCCAAGTTAATGAAGCTGCCTCAAAGTTGAGGAGGGAGAGAATAAACCACAGCTCTGAGGCACAGACCACTGGAGATTCCTCTTTCAAACCCTGCCTCTGCCGCTCACTGGAGTTATTTGATTTGGGAACAAGATAAGAATTCACAATATCTCATTTGTAGAAATAACCTGGAGGAAGGAGAAGCAGTCAAAAATACTAATTTCAGATATAATTTTTGTCTCTCAGTTTCCTAATACTCTTTCTCAGCATTAATAGCATTAACCAAATATAAAGCTCAGACTTGGAGGAAGTTGTGCACCGACTAACAAATGCATCTCCAAATAGCCCACAGTTCAGCACTTCTTATTCTGTCAATACTCTGTGACCAGGGAAGGTTTGGAGCATAATTCTCTCCTACTTATTCATCTTCTCACTTTCTTTTTATTTTTTCTTCCCTGATAAGAAATACACCTGGCAATTCATTGCTGATTTCCCAGGAGTGTTATTCATGCCACTTTATTTATGTATTTATTATTCAAGTGCAAACTACTGAAGTTCCTTGTGGTAACCTGCAAATCAGGTTTTATGGGGCTGCCCATCACACCAAGTGCTGTAGAGCCAAATGCAGGCATTGCAGTTGCTATTACCCCACAGTGAGGGACTGTAAGCCTGCTTGATGCTCAGGACTGCCCAGGCCTTGACTATCTTTGGGAGAGAAAAGTAGTCAGCAACCTTAAATTAATCAAAGTCTCTGCTATAAATGCCCAGCTGTGGTAGTGGAATAGCTTGTCCTCTTTCTTCAGTGTTGGTAATGTATCATTGGCAGGCAATGGGCGTGCATTTATGGCTGACTCTTTCACATGCTTAGACTTCAGGCTTCAGATTTGAAGTCAGAGTGGTCTGTGAGAAGGCAAGGCCACTGTGCCATTTATCCGTTATCCTGCTTCCCTCCAGGGGTGGTGATGCAGCCAGGTATTTCAGTGCCTCTCTTGATGCTGAGCCCCTGCAGCCAAGGGGGACCAGGAGGCAGTGTCTCTCAACACTGGACAACTCAAGGAAGGTTTGTGGGGTGGGTATGTGTCCTGCAGGAAATGGCTTGGGGGAAACCACGCTTCCCAAGCCAGACACATGGTGGGTATTGCCTATGGTGACCATAACCATGCTCTTTCTCTGAAACATAAGACATCCTTCCCCCTTCAGAGGTTCGGATGTATGTGCCGCCTGTTGTCACACACTCAGAATTTGGGCCTCAAGTTTTATGTTGATTATAGTTAGTTATTAAGATTGCATTTTAATAATTTTCCTTGGCATCTTGTTCTGCATGCCTTCACAAGGATTTAATTGTCTTCAACAGGCCATTTGATACAACTGTGTTTTAGCTTGTTAGTGTAATAATTTATTGTGTTAAAGTGTCAGAACTGCAACTTGGAGAAACCTACAATAAGGCTGATAAGAAAGGGACAAAGTCAACTTGGAATGCGGTCAATTGCAAAATAAAATTGTCTCAATTATATCCCTTGTTTCTATGCTCCCTTCTTCCTATTGTTACTTTTTCACCAATATTTCTGAAGATTTATGCACATCCATGTTACACATTCCTTTGTTATTGTGAAAAACCTACACAAATGAGGTTCATTGATTACACAGAGGAAGAAGTGAAATTCCTGTCAAATGCTTTAAAAAATCCAATCAAAAGAGTTATCATTTTTCTTTAGTGGTTTATTATTTTTCCTTTCACAAAAAAAGGATTAAAAGGTAATTTTGATATTTCTGTGTTCCTTTGCATGCTATATTGGTTTCCGTATGGTAGGAATCTCAGTGAGAATATGCTGATTTACGGTAGCAAATTCCTAATTGCTTATTTGAATGCCATCTTGCTGTGTTATCTTACAGATAACATAGAGACATTATTTATAGAGACATAATGTTCCTGTGTTTTTCACGTGACCGTGTCTCATCTGCAAAGTTCAAATTTCATTGCCATTCCAGGAAAAGTTACTGGTGAGAAAAGTTTGAACTTTAAATGGATTTTCAATTTTGAATAGGACTCATTTTTATGTGTGTTGAAAACCAGGCTTAGATCCAAACACTTCTGAAACTTCAGATTCAAATTTGGATCTAGACTGAATCGTGCAACTTAAATCTATTTCTGATATAGAGGTAATTCAGTGCGCAGAGTGTACATGCACATGCAGATGCATGCGTGCACACATATAGACACAACACGTGTGTATTGATGCATAATCCCACAAATGCATGCTTCAGGGTTGTACTTGTAAATAATAAGTGATTTATTTATCTTCAGGTAGAATACCATCAGTGTTGACTATATTTCCTAAAAAAGAATTCAAATTTGAAAATTTGAAAATAATTTCTTGAGTAGCTAAAGAAGTCACTGATGAAAAAAAACTCAAAAGAATCAACTGTGTTTTTTTTTAAAAAATACCTTTTATTGCCCACATGCTAGATTTTAGACATGTCTAAATCACTTTTACATAACTAAGGTATTTTTAAATGTTTAGTAGTTCCTTACCATTGTTCTGTACTGATATCAATATAAAGCTTTGGTTTGAGGAGAACCATAATAAAAGGGAGGACTCTTTTTACGTAGCTAATGCAAGGTAAATGATTCAAATGTTGGAAATGTAAAGCAGTGATTGGCAGGAGGCGGGAAAGCATGTTGTGTGGAATAGGTAGGGAATCAAAACATGGAAATGAAGTAGACATAGAAACATTCTGGTTATTTTGGAGAAAATCACTGTCTGATATTTGGTTTTGCAGAAACAAAGGGTGGCCTGCATTTGAGTCCTGTTTTACCAGCAAATCCAGTGTTCAGGATCGTTTGCATAACCAATTCCAGCTTTGGCTCACGTCTGTTCTGAATATGCAGTTTGGGTATTTTTCAGTTCCCTCTGGGCTGGCAGAGAAAAAGATATGTAGCACAGACAACTGAAGGAGGTGATTTGTTTAACTTCTGCTAGCTTGTATGGATCCCTGTCCCTGAGGGGAGCAATGTTCAGCCACCCTCATTCCCAATACTGACTGGTGTACTAGGCAGAAAGTACTGCTGTCACAGAGGGAAGATGCTCTGTGCTTAGTGCTTTGAGCACCTATTTACAAAGGTTTTAAATAACTTAGGAGCATATTAGAGCTGTCTCCTAAAAGCAGGAAAAGCTCTGAAAATGGTGCAGGTTCCAGCTTGGCAAGGTAAGGCTCCAGCTGACACAGGAAAAACAAGGAAAGCAGCCAAGTGTTATATGCCTCCCCAAACCCTCATCTATAAGCTGGTGCTAAACGTTTGCTGTACTACAGACTTTTCCTATGAGAACACCCAAATGTATAGTTAGCACCCCAAACCACAGGAGCTGACTTTCATCAGCAGGTTTGTGGCCTTAGGGAGCTTTGGAGGTTGGTTTGTTTGTGTGTTTGGTTGGTTTGTTGTTCTTTTCTCCGTCTCGATGTGACTTCAGAGCAGGATGCAAGCCTTAAAAATGGAGAAAAGCAACCTTCGGCTGCATTTTCTCTCTCACCCGTGGACATACTCAAGTTTAATTAAAAAATGGCTGTGCTGATATTTGGTTAATGCCGGCATTCCAAAGACCCACACAAGATTGCATCCCCCTGGTGCAAAGTGCTCTGCAAATACAAGGTGCGAGGCAGCTCCTCCCCCCAGGTATTTGCCTTCTCTGTTCGTAAACTGGACGGAGGGAGGATATCATGGCTGAGGCGATGCAAGGGGGTAACAGGCAGCTGAAAGCAGAGCCCAGTTCTCTCTGTCCTGGTTCCCTGCACTACGAGCTTTGCTCTGGATTGCTTTCTGCTTTCCCACAGCAGCGCTCTGTTGCACTAATTGGGATTAGGCCCCCATTGCACTTAATGCTTCCTGAGCACAGAGGAGGAAGCAAACCCAGTCATGAAAAGCTCAGCAGTTGTAGCTGCTTAATTGATGGGGTTATTTTAAATCCAGTCAGTTAAATTGCTGCGGACACCCTTTATTATAGCCTAGGCAATTTTATTTCAAGTTAGCTTTACTCAATCAGGAATTGATTTTAGCTAAGTCAGTATAAGAACATCTGATCTGGTTTAACAAAATTGGTTTTCGAGAAGTGAAATGGGTGCAGATTCAGCACAGGCCCAAGGAAGGCTTTCTGCTTTTGCCTGCTGATGATTAGGTAGAGGATGTCCTAGTAAAAGCCCAGATCCTACATAGCCGCAGCTGACCTTATCCCAGTCTTAAGTCCTGGTGAAATAAAATGTATATAAAGGGAGATAAGAGGATTTACCGGAATGAAGGACTGTCCTCACAGCAATTTGTGCATATATGCACAATCACACCCTCACCCTGACTGCACTGGTCAGAGGAGGAGATTTGGGAGCTGCAAGTGAAGTGCAAGCTAAAAGCTTCCTAATCGCCCTGCCTAGGCTGTGGCTCCCAAGCCAGCTGAGGCACCAAAACATCTTGCTCTTACTCCACCTGTTTTTAATGCACTTATTTTCTGCCAGGTTAGTGTTTTAAAGAGGTCTGCAAAGATGACTGAGCTGAAGGTGTAGCCTGAAAAGCAGTTGGAGAGTTTGGCTGGGAGCAGTAGCAGGAGATGGAAGCAGGAGCTCCACTTTTTGGCAGAGGTGAGTAAGGCACTGTATTGTGAAAATGCAAATGCCAGGAGAACTAAGAATTGTCAATGGGCAATTTTAAGATGTGACTGATTTCTAATGCTGTCTCACCTTCAGGACTATGAAACTTTTGTAAGGTTACACTATTCTTTTGATGGTTTTTTTTTTCCCTGAAAGATTATTCTGGTATTTTAAGCATACTGTAAAATTGGTACTATTTAAAAAAAACCCAAACAACACATCCTGTTATCTTCAATTTGCTGCTGTTGTTTTTATCGTGATTGTTATGAGTTTTCATATGGGAACTCTTTATCGCTGAATGTTGAAATCTTGCTTCTGCTTCCATAAATGGTAAGAACAAAGCTACTGCAATCAACTACCCGCTACTTTTAGTATTATCTGAAGAAAAAAGTAAGATTTCTACCTAGGACTTGTTTACTTTGTGCCAGAGCTGTTCCCACGCTTGATTCCTTCTGTAGGTACAAGTAGTGTTAATGAGGTGTTAATGTGTATGTAGGCAATGCAGTCATAGATTTGCCTTTGATCAGTCGGTGTTAGTTCCTTTTTTTTTTTTCCCCTTTTTTTTTTAACCTGGAAAAGCTGTTTGCACCATGTGAGCCTGTTGGCTTAACAGAAATTTCTCTGGGAGCTGAAAGGACTTCTGAAAACAATGTGCAGTAAAACGCCCACTGATTGCAGCGGGGTCAGTATTGTTCCTTTGATTATAACTGTTTGAAGAGCAAAAACATATTCCCAAGGGTTTGCCTACATGCAGTTTTTGTACTGCTTTAAATATAGCCTTGAAAGTAGTATATGAAAGCAGTATATAAACCTTAGTACAACGCAGTTGTGTTATTATTGGGATGTTTATGCCAGTCTTGCCTGATCCCACAAATGCAGAGAAGCTCATTATCTGTATCAATACCATAACGTCAATGGTTCTTAATAAACGCACCCTTAGGGAGCTAACTTGGCACAAAAACTGGGTGCATTAGGTTTACATTTCTAGGCTTAAAATTATTAACAAACATGAAAAATGAAAGCAAGACACTTAAAATGGGAAAGGTTCAGAAAGTAGGAAAAAGATGTTTTCATCTTACTGATGTGGGCTTCCTTATCCTGTGGCCTTTGTTGTCACTCTTGCTGACAGAAAGCAGTATTGCTTCATGTTTATCTGATTCACATGAACAAACAAACAATCACCGTGTGTGTTTGTATGTGTGTGATCTTCATAAAGTGAACATGTACAACATGGAGCTGAAAAGGTGCTCAGTTCAATGCTCATGCATTCTTCCATGGACTCCCCAGGCATCTCTTCTTAAGACTCTGGTGCATGGAACAATCATGTTTTCGAGTGAACAGTTGTGTGGGTTTCTGCATGTGCTGTTCTTGGGGGATCCCATTTGCTACAGTTGTGTTTCACAAGCTGCCAAGAATGGGTTCCACCATTCTGGGCACTGCACAACCAAGACAGCAGACAGGTCCTGAGCTGCACACAGCAGTCTATGCTTTGTAACTGGCCTGGTCATGCACAGCAAAATGAGACATGGAGTGCAGAAAAAGAGGCAACAGCACGGTTGCAGCAGCCAGTGTGCAGGTACTGAGGCTTGGGGAGGGCTGGATGTGGGTAGTTTCCTGATGAGAAGTGAAGCTGAAATGGAATAAGGGGGGAAAGTGAAGTGAGAAAGAGAAGCCAGGAAAGGTGGATGCTCAAAAAAGCTCTGTGCAGGAGGCTGGAGGAAGCAGCCCACCAGCACAAATTGACAAAACTGTAAAAAAAGCTCCAGGAGCAGCTGGAGGCTCCCGATGCTGATGGCTGTGTATCTTTCCCTCCTGGCTGGGGTCTTGTTCTCATGGCAGTTTTTCCCCACAGGCCACATGGCAGGTAGAGGAATTGGG